GCGCGTGCGCTCGCCAGACAGACAGAGACATAGAGACAGAAAGCGAGAAATCACCCCCCAGGGAGGATGGTCATACCACAATCCCTTTTCCGCCATTCTCCTCTCGGGATCTTGGGCACGCACGCACACGCGCCCGGCGTGAGTTTTAAGCCACCGGGTCCGGGACGCGAACTGCGGTTGACTACATGGGAGTCCAGCGACATAGCCATTACGCTAACTGCTGGTTCCCTTGAACACATATTTAACACCCCTGTGGCAGCCCCAGCTAGCCTTCCGGGCGGCTCATTTCTCCCAACTAGTTCTGGCAACCACAGACACAGAGCGGTGACTGGTCAGTAGCCGCGGCATCAGTTTCCAGCCAGGACACGGACCAGGCCCAGGGCAGGCCTTCGCTGTGCCGTGGCTGTCTTGGCAGGGCTGGAGGATGGGGCTAACGTGTATTTAACACCCCTGTGGCAGCCCCAGCTAGCCTTCCGGGCGGCTCATTTCTCCCAACTAGTTCTGGCAACCACAGACACAGAGCGGTGACTGGTCAGTAGCCGCGGCATCAGTTTCCAGCCAGGACACGGACCAGGCCCAGGGCAGGCCTTCGCTGTGCCGTGGCTGTCTTGGCAGGGCTGGAGGATGGGGCTAACGTGGGTCCCCGCCAGCTCCTTCCCAGTCTGTCCAGGATTGAGGCTAAGTCTTGACGCCTCCGGCTTCCTCAGGGCCACACGGCGCACTCTCTTAGAGCAAAGCTAGGCAGAGGGTAAAGACTGCTGCTGCTTTCCGGGGAGCGGGAGCAGCCCCGTGGGGGCGAGCGAGCCCCTGGTCAGAAAGGCTGGAACGGAGAGCCTTTGGAGCCCAGGGCGGGGTCTGCGGTTTGCCCCAGCCTTCGCGGGAGCCTCCACAGCCAGGCAGTACCTGGCCAGCCCACACTTCTTCACCGTGTACCTCTGAGCCCAGGAGCCCACTCCTGCAGAACCCACAGCCCTGCCTCTTCTGCCCAAGCCACGTGCAAGGCTCCTGTCGGCCTTGCCAGCGGGACTGTGGGCCGAGACAATAAACTTGGTTTCCTCTCTCAAGTGTCACTTGTCACTTGGTCATTTACCCCCCTGCGGCAGGCACCCAGCACCAAGCACTGCCCTCTGTGGCCCCATGTCCCCAGGGAACTTGGGAACAAGTCCACCAGCAGAGGTCCCAGGAAGGGGACAGTAGGCTCTCAGAGTGAGGACCTGAACGTAGCACGTTCTCACTGCTGGGACCTGCAGAGAGGGTCCTCAGGACTTCCACAGTCACTGAGGGATGCAGTGAGAAGGGGACGCGGGGGCTCCGGGCTCTGCCTCAGCTTAGCTTGGCAAGGTGCTGGGGGCTGAGGTGACCATCCACCATCGGTGACCGGCCTCCTGTGTCCTCACCGGCGGAGCCTAGGCACAAGTAGGTCTACACTGTGAGAGCTGTCTGGAGCGGCAGGGGTTGGTCTACACTGAAAGAGCTATATGCATGGGCATGGGTTGGTCTACACCATGAGAGCTGTCTGGAGCGGCAGGGGTTGGTCTACACTGAAAGAGCTATATGCATGGGCATGGGTTGGTCTACACTGTGAGAGCTGTCTGGAGGGAAGTGCTGCCCAGAGATGGACAGATGTCTGCCACGTACCCTGGGGCACCCCAGGGCTTCTTTGTGGGATCGAGTGTCTCCCTGTACCCCTGGCTGGTGGGCAGTTCCCAGACTCTGGGGAGCCTCGTGCTTCATCCTTGGGTACGCTTGGGTCAGTGCAGGGTGTGGCACAGCCAGTGCAGAGTCCCGCTGCCGGGAGACCCGCCTGGGGGCCAGCAGGGACGTAGCGATTAAGGCAGCTGGCTCCCCCATGGCCGACCATACGGCCCAAGTCCTGGCAGCGTGAAAACCACACTGGGTACACGTGTGTGCGTAGTCCCGAGAGGAAGGGGAGGTGGAGAAGGGACTGCGGTGTGGCCGTCTGCCCTGGGGGGCCCATTGTCACCACCACCCCCGGCACGCACACACAGAGGCTCGCTGTACAGCCTTCCAGGGTGTGGGGAGGGGCGGTGGGGAAGGCAGAGATGGAGGCTCTGCTGACAGGCCCAGCTGTACCCCTGCCGGGGAAGGCTGAGGAAGGAACCCTGCCAGGACCACCTGAGAGGGAGGGACGCAGGCGGAGAGCAGTGTGGGAAGGACGAGGTCACAGGGCGCTCTTGGAAGGCAGGACACACGTACGGGGACAAGGCCACACACACAGTCGGGTTTATTGGGTCATCACACACGCACGCCGAGTATGTACACAACATAAATACTCAATGTACAGATTTTACATGGGACTGCGGGCCGCCCGCGTCTGTCAGCCAGCACCCGCGCCGTGCCCTGCCCTCTCCAGCCTGCGAAGGAGGCCTGCAGGAGGCCGGCACTGGGAGGAGGGGTCTGGAGGAGGGAGAGGTCCTGCTCCCCTCTCCTCACAGGCACCTCCAAAGGGTCCTGTCCCTTGTCAACGGCACCTTGGGCAGAGGGCTGGGCACCTCGCTCCCTCCGCTGCAGCTCCAGGCGCAAGCCTCTCCACGCATCTCTGGGCCCTCCCGGGCTCCCCTCCTCGTCCTCCCTGCACATCCCTGCTTCTCCAACTATGTCTCTGAGCCCCTGGTGCCTGCAGGGGGAGGGTCTCAGGCTGTGGCGTCCTCTGGCCCCTCTGCCCTCTTCCGGACCTCAGAGGAGACTGGGGCTGCGGTGCAGCTCGGCGGACGGCTTGGTGCCATTGGCAGGCTCCCGGCTGGGGGTCGGCGCTAAGCCACAGCCCTCGCCCGGGCAGCCGTGCTGGATCAGGATGTCCGCACACTCCTGGCTGCCGGCCCGGCGGGCGTAGGCCAGGGGAGTCAGGCCCCGGGCGTCGCGGCTCCTCACGTCCACCCCGTACTGCGGGAGAGAGCACACGGCCACGGTCGGCACCGCGGGGTGGGAGGGCAGTGCTGGGGCAGGGAGGGAGAGGCTG